TAAGACCTAGCGCATCTTTGGGAGCAAAAATTAATATAAGACACTGTCTTATTTTCGGGGAAACAGGGTAGTACAAACAAGGTTGCTGTAGGATAGATTGAGATGTGTTGACAGAGCTGCATGATGGGGGATGATGAGGGCAGGAATGCTGCTGTCAGGACTGAGGCTCATCAACAGAGTTCTGTGTCAGAAGCCAGGATGGCTGAAACTGGGACTGTAACACCATTCTCATAACCAGCAAAGTAACAAAGTTTGTTCGGGGTTTCTTGTTTCACTTAAAGTTTAAATTTGAACTAAAAAGATGGTAGCAATAAAATATGTGAAGCATGTGAAAAACATGTATGCTTATTCTCTTTACAGCATTTGTTAGCAACTACTGACAATTAATATTTATCACAGCTACTGCCATTTTCCCTACTTCATCTACAGAGAAGTATACATTGCCTTTCTAAAAAAACATGAATGGGAATAAAAAAAATCCCTTACTTTCAAAATTTAGCAGGACTTACTGGTTATGTGGCCAGTCTTTAGTCAAAAACATGTGCAGAGCAATTATTACTTCGCATGAGGTTTTTTATTTGTCTTTTGTCTTTTGGGTGTGTTCTGGATGTGCAGAAAGAATAGCAAACATGGCAGGCGACCAGCTTGGCTTAACAAAGAAATCTTTGGTGAGCTTAAAGACGAAAAGGAAGCTTACAAGAAGTGGAAACTTGGACAGATGACTAGGGAGGAGTATAAAAATATTGCTTGAGCATGCAGGGGTGTAATCAGGAAGGCCAAAGCACAGTTGGAGTTGGATCTAGCAAGGGATGTGAAGGCTAATAAGGGCTTCTACAGGTATGTTAGCAACAAGGAGGAGGTCAGGAAAAGTGTGGGACTCTTACTGAATGGAGGAGGCAACCTAGTGACCCATGATGTGGAAAAAGCTTGAAGTATTGAATGCTTTTTTTGCCTCGGTCTTCACATCTGCCAAGATCAGATCCCAGACTGCTGCACTGGGCAGCACAGTATGGGGAGGGGGTGAGCAGTCCTCCGTGGTGAAAGAACAGGTTAAGGACTATTTAGAAAAGCTGGACATGCACAAGTCCATGGGGCTGGAACTAATGCATCTGAGGATGCTGAGGGAGTAGGCTGAAGTGATTGCAGAGCCATTGGCCATTATCTTTGAAAACTCATGGCGATCGGGGGAGGTCCCGGATGATTGGAAAAAGGCTAATGTAGTGCCCATCTTTAAAAAAGGGAAGAAGGAGAATCTGGGGAACTACAGTCTCAGTCCCTGGAAAAATCATGGAGCAAGTCCTCAAGGAATCCATTTTGAAGCACTTAGAGGAGAGGAAGGTGATCAGGAACAGTCAACATGGATTCACCAAGGGCAAGTCATGCCTGACCAACCTGATTGCCTTCTATGATGAGATAACTGGCTCTGTGGATATGGGGAAAGCGGTGGATGTGATATATCTTGACTTTATCAAAGCTTTTGATATGGTCTCCCACAGTATTCTTGCCAGCAAGTTAAAAAAGTATAAATTGGATGAATGGACTATAAGGTGGATAGAAAGCTGGCTAGATCGGCAGGCTCAATGGGTAGGGATCAACAGCTCAATGTTAGTTGGCAGCCGGTATCAAGCGGAGTGCCCCAAGGGTTGGTCCTGGGGCCGGTTTTGTTCAACATTTTCATTAATGATCTGAATGATGGGGTGGATTACACCCTCAGCAGGTTCGTGGATGACACTAAGGTTGGGGGAGAGGTAGATACGCTAGAGGGTATGGATAGGGTCCAGAGTGACCTAGACAAATTGGATTGGGTCAAAAGAAATCTGATGAGGTTCACCAAGGACAAGTGCAGAGTCCTGCACTTAGGACAGAAGAGCCCCATGCTCTGCTATAGGCTGGGGACCGACTGGCTAAGCGGCAGTTCTGCAGAAAAGGACCTGGGGATTACAGTGGACGAGAAGCTGGATATGAGTCAGCAGTGTGCCCTTGTTGCCAAAAAGGCTAACGGCATTTTGGGCTGTATAAATAGGAGCATTGCCAGAAGATCGAGGGATGTGATCATTCCCCTTTATTCAGCATTGGTGAGGCCTCATCTGGAGTACTGTGTCCAGTTTTGGGCCCCACACTACAAGAAGGATGTGGAAAAATTGGAGAGAGTCCAGCGGAGGGCAACGAAAATGATTAGGGGACTGGAGCACGTGACTTATGAGGAGAGGCTGAGGGAACTGGGCTTATTTAGTCTGCAGAAGAGAAGAGTGAAGGGGGATTTGATAGCAGCCTTCAACTACTGGAACGGGGGTTCCAAAGAGGATGGAGGTGGCAGATGACAGAACAAGGAGCAATGGTCTCAAGTTTCAGTGGGGGAGGTCTAGGTTGGATATTAGGAAAAACTATTTCACTAGGCGGGTGGTGAAGCACTGGAATAGGTTACCTAGGAAGGTGGTGCAATCTCCATCCTTAGAGGTTTTTAAGGCCTGGCTTGACAAAGCCCTGGCTGGGATGATTTAATAGGGTTAGGTCCTGCTTTGAGCAAGGGATTGGACTAGATGACCTTCTGAGGTCTCTTCCAACCCTAATCTTCTATGATTCTATGATTACATTAGTAAAGCACTTGTTTTACTGAGTGTGAAATATGAGCATGGATTAGGATGAGCTCACTTTGTTTTTACAGATGAACTTGGTAAACTTGTAGTTAACTACAAAGAAAATGTTTTTTTTTTTCCTTCCTGTTTGCAGAGGAAAAGAGCTATACTTCCCCAGACAAGATATGTGGAGCTGTTCATAGTTGTGGACAAAGAAAGGGTAGGATTATATATTGTTTTTTCCTTAGTTTTTTGCTTATGGTGGAGGGAGATGTAACTTAAACACCCTCACCCCAAATAATTATAAAACATTTTAAGGCAAAGTAATGTACCTTTCTGTATTAAAACATTCTTTCAGCCTCATTACTACAAATGGATTTATTAAAAGACAATACCAGACATAACCTAGACAATTCAAATATGTATAATGTTACTACCATTGCAAAATAGGATATACCGTAAAACGTCAGAGGGTCAGAGCTTTACATTCAAGGATTCTAATGGTCAAAGGAGAATATTTCCCTTCCTGTTCTGCCTCTCTTGAACAGATGATGATCTGACTGCATCTATAAAGGTGCTGCCTACTAGTTTGCTCTCTTCTAGTGCTTTTTTTTTTTTGACAACAGTTCCAGGCTGTAACTTCCAAACATGAGACTTGGAGCCTGACAATAATACTTAAAAGATCTTATTCTTCCTCTTATGTCTTATAATCATGTCGATCACATCTTATTTCCACTAATAAACCTCTTTATCTTGCAGTATGAGCTGTTGGGTAGGAGTGAAGCTGCTGTGAGAGAAGAGATGGTGCATCTAGCAAATTACCTGGATAGTGTAAGTTAAAGCTATGCTGTGTCTAAATTGGCAATAATATTGAATGTTGTAGCCTTGCAACTTAAGTGTTTAATTTTATAAATTGACCACCTTGGTCTGTTATCTTGTCAGAATGCTGCTAAGCAGGGTCAGGACCTTGTCAGTAAGTGGATGAACAAGGGAAATCCAGTGTCCTATTGGAAGTGATGTTGATGATTCAGTGGGAAGCACTCCTCCTTTAGAATTACCGTTGAATCAACGACATCTCACCATGGAGCTAGCGGGAGCTGTAAGGTGGTGGTAGTATTTATTTACTTTGATTGAGGTGGATTCTCCATAACAGGAAATCTTGAAATCAAGATTGTTTGTTTTTATAAAAGATATTCTTGAGTTCAACCATCACTATTGGTTTTGAAGCAGGAATGAATTCAGGGAAATGTGGTGATCTGTATTATCCAGATGAGGTCAGACTATGATCACAGTTGTCTCTTCTGGCCTTACGAACTATGGATCTGTTGTGCTCTGTTTTAATTTGACTTTGGTTTGCTGGGGACACTATTGGTTTGTGATCAGGAGTCTTTCTATTTGTCTATCTTCAGTTTTTCTATAGCACCCTATCACTGTGGTATATAGGCACTAGTCCTTTAGCCCACTAAAATTTAATAGCAGGGCATATACGATTTGGAAAACTGACATCCTTATTACACAGGAAAACTGAAAAATTAGATTTTGGCAGTATGATTTATATATAATACTAAAAATGATTTATCCTTATGGCATGCTCATATCTGGCCATCAACAGCTTCACTCTGCATTCCCCTTTTCTTTGCCTTTTCAGATGTACATTATGCTAAATATTCGTATCGTGCTGGTTGGCTTGGAGATCTGGAAGAACGAAAACTTGATTAGCACAGACGGAAGTGCCGGCGATGTGCTGGGGAACTTTGTACAGTGGCGAGAGAAGAATCTTGTCACGCGTCGACGACATGACAGTGCCCAGTTTGTTCTGTAAGTGCTGGGAAACTTTTTCCCTATCCAGAAATAATTTTAGGAAAGGGCTTTGCCAGGAGACTTTGCTTACTTGTATTAATTAGTAACTTCAAACATAAAGGATACATTCAATGAAGATTCCATGGTAACGGCTTTACTATGAGCAGTCAGAAACAATCTGCTGCACATGCTGTTTACTGAAGCATTGTGAACATTCAGCACCAACTTGTTTCATCTTTCAGAAGCTTCCTCTGCCACCCACTAGAAGACAAAGATCTGGTTCCTGACAAATGGGGATATCTCTAAAATTAGAACAATTTTTGGGTTGTTCCGAACATGATGCTGCTTAATTTCTCTTATTACAAAGCTCACAGCTGTGGGTGACTTCATAGAGAAGCCTTTGTCACATCATGTATTGGATAGACTTGTAGATCTAGGGCTTTTCCCTTGAAGACCATAACTATCACAGCTGTAGACTGTTGAATGTTATGATTTAATGGAGCATAAGCTGTTTCTGTAATCAATATCCAGAAGCTGGTTACATGATTTGAGCCTTTCTGTGTAGAATTAGCTTGTGTTTCTCCAGGTCACTAGCACATTTGCATTGTTGCACTATTAGCACCCACTTTCTTAAGCTGGAGTTTTTTTAATATTTGGAAGCGGCATTTGGGACATTCTTGTTACTAAAGTACTCTGTAGCATACTGTACTGAGATCACATGATGGGGGCTTGGTAACCTACAGTGTGTCAGAAGGCAGCTTGGCAGGTAGCTCCTTCCAGCAAATTTATTTCACACAAAAAAAGCTTGATATTATTGATAAAATTTGATATTAAGTCTTCACTATACTCTTGCGTGTTATGCAAGGTAAAACACTGTACATGCTGTAGTATTACACTCAGACTTTCTAGAAGAACACTGGAGAAACAAAATGTAAAGACTCAGAGGGGAAGCTGAGGAAAGGAAAGTTAATGGAGAATAACAAAGCAGCCACTACAATACAAACTTAAAGAAAAAAATAGGGTTGGTATATTACTTACGTTTTATTTTGGAGTGGAGTGGGCATTGATTCTCTCTAAATTATATGGGCCCAGTTTTAAAAAACAAAGCATTGTCTAAATAAAAGCATGGTATTGATATGAGCCATACTTTCTTAGCACTGTACTTCCTGTTAGATAATTGAAAAGCAGAAGCAGTATTACTACTGCTTTTATGTGGCACAGAGAGATGCACTGAGCTCTTGCACAGCTGGTCATTGTATTATAGGCTGTCATGCCTCCAGCACAGTTATGTTGATTCTTCCTTAATTTTTTTCTTTCTAATGTGCTCTAGGAAGAAGGGGTTTGGTGGAACTGCAGGAATGGCCTATGTTGGAACAGTATGCTCCAAAAGCCATGCAGGAGGGATTAATGTGGTAGGATATCTTTAATACCCCTTTAAATAAAACTTTAATGTGAACTCTGTATCTTCAATATAAAAGGGAGACAGTATTAAGGATCTGACAACCTCTAGAAGCAAGAGAATTCTTAATCACTGCTGCTTTCTGCCTCCTTTAACTCTCCCCTTTGTGTATATACTGCAACTCAAAGTCCCAGATTAGGTCATGGTCTAAGACCCTAGGAGCTGTCAATGCCATTCCTCTGCAGGGAGCATTGAGTATCAGAGGCCTGGCTCTTTTCTGAGAGGCGCTGAGCCCCCATATCTCTTGTTGAAGTCAGTGTGAGCTATGGGTTGTTGTGATAATTGGATCTACACGTTTACCCTAATTGCGAGCTCAACTGTAAAAAGTGAAAGTTCAGAAAATGTCACAATAACTTGTACTAACAAATGCTGATGGGGAAAGGGTGCAAAAAAGAGAGAGACTGAATCAGTCAAAACAAAAAGGTATTTTGGTATAATTCAAGGACTGTGTTAAGATCATGTCTGGTAAACAAGAACAGTATGGGACCGGAAATCAATTCACCAAAATTGGTGTGTCGGAAACTAGACCGAATTGGCGGGGGTCTTAAAAAAAAAAAAAACAAAAAAGAGAGAGAG